ATTGTACACAGCTAATTAGCCGTGACAGCTGATCTTTTGTTTGTGACTGTCCCTGCCATTCTGTCTGTGGAGTAAATCTGTGTCAAGTCTTCCCAGTCTTCTGAAATCAGGGCAGTTCCTTGCTTTTCTAGTTCAGCAAGTGGAAGTTTGAGCACAGTTGGAGCTTTGTCAAAAAAACCTTGCTAAGCTCCGGGTGAATTTAGGCTAGGCTGTTAACTGGGCTCAGTTCAGTGTCTACTTAATACTCTTCTGCATTAGGGCTACTAGTAGTTTGTAACCCTGCCATCCTCCCCCAATTCAAGTATAATATTCCCCAAACTTCTGTGGATTCAGCCCAATTTCCCACTGAATCTCTTGATCTGGAGGGCCGATGCCTTTCCAGTGAGCAAAGTTGCGCCGAGGTGTTTCTGTGAGGATGTGGCACTGGATGTGCCGTTCTTGGGAAGTGGGGCACACTTTTTGTTTAGTCAGTAGCTAAAATTTTCCTTTATGGTTTCTCTGTGTTGAATGGTCACACTCTGTGCTTTTAGGCTGCAGATCTGAAGTGCTGTTTGTATTGTTCTGTCTCCAGCAGCACTGTGAACTTCACGCTCTGTTACAAGAAGCTGAGGTACAAACCAGGGTCTAATCTGGGTGTGCGTTGAGCTACGTTTGCAGTTTCTGGGCAAGTCAACTCAAAAATGCCTTTCCAAGAACCTCAGAGCAGCACTAGAACTACAGATTTCCAGATGTGGTAAAGTACTGAATAAAGATACCTTCTTTTCACGTCACGTTGCCAAGAAACCTGCCCTCAGTGTGATCTGCTTGCCCATGCCAAGGTTTTCAATGTGGTAAAGGTCAGTTTTAGATGCTAGAGTTTTGGTTCCACTCTGTGTCTGCAAAACCATCATTCTTCTTGTCTGACTGCTTTGATGCCTACATCCCTGTATCTGAATTCTTGTCTCCATAATCTTTTAAGTTCCGCTTAATGCACCGGTGTCTACTTATGCAAATACCCAAGGAGGTGAAACAGAACATGAAGTGAAAATTGCAAGTATAATCTTTTCCGGGAATTCATGTTTTCATTGCAACATTAAGTAATAATGGAGTGCCTTTAACTGTGGTTATCCAAGGCATACTTGAGAAGTACCAGCCAACCAGGCAGTTCAAATGTTAACTTTCTAAACAGTCAGATATCAAATTTAATTAAGCAATCTTTTCCTGCGTCACTTTTCAGTCTAGCAACTATTTTACTCCCCCAGGTTTTAACTTAAACTCCTAGAACAAAGTGAGTCTGTAAGGCAGAAAGCAGTTATTGGAAATAATCGTACTTGCAAATGTTTTTTCTGCCTCTTGACACAAAGAGCTCTCAATTCACTGCATTCCATGGAGGTCTTATTATCTGCACTCCAAACACATCATAATGGGAACCAAGACCTGTTGGGAGCCCTATTGCCTAATGCACAGTAGAATATTGCAAGTGCACACCACGGCCTGAGGCACTGCAGATGCATGAGTTAGTCAGAGGAATGCTACTGGAAAGGGAAATCTGGGGAAAATGGAATACTGCCATTTTGGATGGGGGAGGAGGGAGAAGTGCATGTTTCCACAGCAACAAGTGGTAGACTAAATTGGCTTGGAGCACAAAATACAGGAAATACACTTTTCAAAAGCAGCACTGCACATAAATGAATACTTGAGTCTGTACTCAAGCTGCTGTCAATAATAAATCTGAAGTCAGCGGACTTGCACTGCTGTAAAAGGAGAACATGGCCCAAAAGATACAACAGAATTCCTCACTGTGTCTTTTGAGGTGGAATGAGTGGGAAAGTGAAGAAAAATAGGTATTTCAGCTTTGACTGCATAAACATTCATCAGCATGATAGCAGAGTTGGTTTTCTCAGCAGGTTCACAGCTACTGTTGAAATATATTACAACCAGCACAATTCAAAAAATACAGTGGTTTTAAGGAAATCGTATTGTTTCCCCATTTTTGAAGTTACACAGACACTATTATTTGGTATGTTTTGCACATTACATACATCAGCAGAGCTTTCTCTCCAGGGTGCGGAGTTAGGCTGTGTTAGCTGTGGGACTGAGGCAATTTGCTAAACAGCTGTAGGCTTTCAAATCCCTACAGATGTGCTGAAAAATACTGATCTTGAAAACAACTGCCTGTTTATTGCCATTCTTATGCAGACAGCCTTCAGGTAACTACTCAATAATCTGCCCGTACATTATTCTTTTGTGTTGAAGTACAGGTCTACAGCCTGATGGTACGTATGGATTCCTAGCTGAGCTGGGCACTGCAGTTTCCAAAGTCTTACTGGTATGGCAGCAATGTGCTCTTATCTGCATCGGTAGTGGCAAAATCGTACAGAGAACAGACATTTCTATTGGATCCCATTTCCTGGTCAGTACTGCACACCTGAAAGCTTACCAGTATGTTCCTTAGCTATTAACTTCCAAGTTGTCACAAAGAGACTATGCTGAATAAATACCGGTAAAATGAATGGATTTAAAGACTTCAAAATCTCATGTAAGATTGTCACTTTGCTCAGCAAGGTTACGTTTCAATGCTGCTGCCAGTTTGTGCTTTGAGTGAGGACTCTGGGGTTCTTTGGGTTTTGTGGGGAGAGACCTAGTCAGAAAATCCAGAGGGATTTCTCTAGGGCTTTGACTCTGTGGCCTTTACCAGTACCCATTTTTACTTCGGGGTTTTTTTGGACACATTCTTGCTTTTCCTGGTATAAATATTATCCTGCATGCATCCACCACCTGAGCTTGTTTGCACGGTCATGTTCTATTCTGGTGGATGAGTTAAGAGCTGAGCTGAGCTCTGCTAGCGCACATATGGGCTGGAAGTTGTGTGGGAGACTGCTTCCAATCTGTTTTACCGTTCCTGGCTCTTCATCTCTGCACCGTCTGTTCCCCAAGATGCACTGAATCTTCCACGTTCCAGGAGGAAGGAGCTAAATGAAAGCACTTGCAACAAAGATGGCTTTTAGCCATACTCTAGAGATTACCAGTGAGACTAATGGCCTGAACCACATTGCTCCATAAGACCATAGCAGACAGTATGGAGGCTTCCTTCACTGTGTTTACCTATAGACAGTATATTTCCTAGCTTCTAGTGATGACCAGCCCTTCTCTTCACCAATAAAGTAGTTTCCTTTTTAAGTCATTGTGCGGACACTTGACTTTAGGCATACCTCCTTGAAAAGAATTCTTTAGGCTCACTGTTAAGCAAACTAAATGGTAAATAAAAAGGCTAAAGCCTGTAGTTACACCACCTGAAGCAGCAGTTCCATTGGACCTTTCACACTAAGAGAAGTCAGGCTGTATTGAAGAGAGATGTGACCTTCTAGGCATTTCTGCAATATAAAGTGTGGCTAGATATGAGATAATTTCATTCAGTGAATATTCTGTGGTAGTTGAACTTGGTTTTAGAGATGCAGTGGGGCAGAAACCATTTTTTGTCTATTTGAGAGCCATAAAATTTGGCTCCCAACCTGCAGAGACATTTCATGAGCAATTGGCTGGCCAAAATACTGGAATTAAAAATATCAGAGTGCAGCTTGAAGTATTTCCCTGAAATGTATACACAAGGCTTGCAAGGTCAAGATGATCAAGGCCACGGTCAAGGTCCATGATACTTTTCTCCCTAAGACAACGGATATGAATGTGGCACATCTATTATTTGCTCTGGCTGTAACTCTTGGAAGTTAATGTAAATTGTAATGTGATATTTTCCACTTGTATGGCATGGACATGTTTTTTGTGGCAGGGACTGTCATCTGCTCTGTCTTGTGCAGTAATTGGCACAATGCACTGTTCTCCTCTGGATGTAAAGTGCTACCATTCTGCAAAGAATAAACAGCAATCACTGAGATTGAAGGAAGGTGATTCCTCCATCTCCAATGTTGCAAGGGTGTCATGAAGTGCACCCAAAATCTCATCTATATTCACTCAGTTGCTTGTTTCTTAGCCAAGGGCAAGTGTGGTGATGGCAGTGATGTTTTCCCCTTAAACTCTGGTCTATTTGGACTTGTGCTCTGATCCATATGTGTGCTTCTCATTCCCTGTCCTCTGAGGTAAAGTTTAATCAAATGCACACACATGAATGAGCTAGTCTAAATATCAATAAGTGTTTCTTTTGGAGGAAGCTTGAGATATTTAATATTTAATAAGCCTTGGAAATGAACTTTTATTCATGTTTCTCAATTTGATTCCAAGCATGTTGGCGGCAAGCGGTGCTCACTGTCCCAGTGTGGGTAGGCACAGCACAGATAATTTAACAATCCACTTTGTCTCACCTAAAATATTCATGTTTGCAGATATCCAAATGTAGCTCTTCAAAAAAAACCCACACTCAAAAGCCAAATGGTACAGTCTGAGCCTCACAGTTACCTTAAATCTTTGCTTTAGGCTACACGCCATAGTGATACTGTTTCTCTCACAGCTCTACCCGGTTGCCCTGGTTACTGATCAAAACCAGCCCATCCCTGCTGTCCCCGCAGCTGGACTTGCACAAACACCTTACTCATATGAGGGCAATGCTGCTCAAGCTGCTTCTTCCTTAAAGCAGAAACACAGCCACCAATTCATACAGCAGCTTTCCCTTGTTCAAGTAAATACGCAGCTATAACAGTTGCCTTTATCCTCAAATTCAGCTAGTGCTGACAAAGCAAAATCAGGTTAATAAACATATTACTATTTTTGTTAAAGCACTAGCCTTTGTAGAGGACTTCTAAATCTTGACTACATCAGTGTTGCTGCAGGTAGATTTGGCAGAATTTTGCCTCCCGCACTGACTTCTGTTTTGTTTACTGTTGAAATCAAGGGAATCCTGAATGAAGAGGGAGATGTTTTATTTTTTTGACACCTGAAAATGTACTATATTAGGTTGCGTATGATTCACTGCAGTAAATGGACTTGGAGGTGGGGGACAGTGTCTCATCTGACCATACCCAGAGGATGCTCCGTTTTAAAGGGAGGGTCCTCTCTGTTTTTAGATAGACTTACTTTGAAAGTTTCATTTCAATTTGCTGCCGGATTTCCTGTCTCTCCTCATCTGTCCTCCTTGGGAAAATATTCCTGTCTTCCAGCTCCTGCTTGCTCGGTCTGTTTCGTAGTTTTACTGCCAGCAGTTCTTTCTTGCATTTTCTTGGCAAAGTACCTGGGACATTAATTGAAAAGGAAGTTATTAGAAAGACAGCTCCTGGAAATGAAACATGTACATACGAAGAGTGGGAATGGACCAACAGAGATCTGTATGTCAGTGCGCAGGGAGCAGTTGTACACATTAATATAAGTAGCACTGCAGTTGTGCTGGGCTCAGACACAAAACTGCTTACAAACGCAGAAGAATCATATTCCTCTGTTATCTTTGTTATCCATTATAGGCAAGCAGTGCTCTCAGGTGAATTTGCAGCTGAGACACGATTCACATCGCTAGTTTAGAAGTCAATGGCTATGTGTCTTCTCTCAGTCCTCTGAGCATCCCTAAGGCCCAGAGCAATCTCTGTTTCCTGAATCACTTGGTGGCTCCTTTGCAGGAGGACTGGACTGCTCAGTAGCAGGGGTGGCTGGGACACGTACACCTTCCTCTCTGGGTCACCAGGTATAACTGGGAATAGATAATGGTAACTGAAACAACTGAAGTTGTTGCTTGGCCTGTGTGTATATACGCGCGCACACACATATATTGAATGTCATTCTGGTTTTCTGGCAGTAGAAATTAGAACACCAGAGTTGTGATCAGACACTGTGTAACTCTAACACTAAATGTAAGCCATTGTCTATGTCCACAACGTGTCCAGTGTGAGTGTGTCACAACGGAATTCCATTTAGCAAACAATACTCTATTGTTGACATTAGGCCTTTCCCTCTGTCAAGAGCAGGAGTAAATATTCCAAGGAATGAAGTAAAAGGCCAGGTTTTATGATGATTTGTGGAATGCTGGCAACTTAATTGAACATTCAGGCAATAAAAGACACAAATACTGACTGTGATGGCATGACTTGTTGTGCTTACTGTAAAAATATGATAACACATTTTCCATCAAACCAGACAATCTAAAACATTGCCATTACAACAGAACTGTTCATAGGAGAAGATGCAGCAACTGTTTTGAGTAGGAGTCTGCTGCTCTGCCGCGTGCTGGATGTTGAGCCCTTGATGCTGCCCCTGTGATGGCAACAGAAATGGCCGTTCGCTCTTACTGAAGGGAACGGTGAGCTTCGGTGTTTCTGTGTCTCTGGTGTAACTCTTCAGACTTCAGCGGGGCAAGCTAATGAAAATTGGACTCCTGAGCTTATTTTGCCATGAGTTTGAAAAGGTATGCAATACAATGGCTGTAAAGTAGAAAGCCATCTTTATTTTCAAATGCAGACTGAAAGTGTGAGGTGGTGTCCATATTTGATGAGGGATAGCTTGCTTATGATGGGGGGAAAAGAAGAGGGAAGTGCTATTAGAAACCAGTGAGCTGCTGAATCATACTGGTAGGACTTCAGCCTTCCAACAATTATGTTACAGGTAGGTTGTAAATGAGTAAATTTATACCAGATCTCTGCATGCCTCGACTGTGCTGTGATGGCTTTTCTGGTGTCGAGTCCAGGGCTTCAGCAGAGTCTGGAAGTTATTGCAGAGTAGCACCACTCAGCTGGGGTTTAGAGTATTGTAGGGTATGCAAGAACTACAGTTAAATCTTTGGATTGGCTTCATCTGGGGAGTGTGGTGTGTAATAGGGAGGTTATTTTGTTTTGGTTCCCTTTTACTTTAAAGGTGGGGGTTTTTAAATTTAATTCTTCACCTTTTCTAGAAAAGGTCACCCCATTTTTAAAGAAAATGACATTTAATTGGTATTTTTGTTTGGCATTTGAGATAGGATTAAAGTCTATTTTTTTAAAGGATGCTCTGGAGGTCGGCAAGATTCTAAATCCTAAATAGATTCTCATCTCCAAATATTGGGGTTTTACTTGCTATGGATCTGTGGACCTACATCATCATCATCATCATTATCACTGTTGATCTTGAATTTCTTTATGCAGAGGGGAGGAGTCTGTACCACATCCACTCACGCTTGTTGGGAAGACTGGGCAGTAGTTACGGTCTCCCTGAGTGAGCAGGGGGATGTATCTTAATATTTGCAGTGGTCTAAAATTAAACTTTTAGCAACCATAATCAGCTAAGACACTTAGAGTCTAAAAGCTGTGCCCTTGTTTAGCACCTTCCTTCTAATGCTTTCAAAATCTGTTGCAGACATTAATTAAATTGAACTACACAGCCCTCTGTGAAGTAGTAGGTATACGTTTAACAGATGGGTAAAGTAGTTAAACGATTTGGCTGATGCCACACAGAGCCTTCTGCTAACAGAATGTAGAATTCTATCAGAAACACTTGGCTCATGAAGCCACAGTCTTAGACTCTGTCAAGGTTTTTCAGGCCTCCACCACACTGGGAGTGGGTGGTTGCAGTGCTCGATCCATACAGCGCAGGAACCAACAGAATTCCTTCTGGAAACAAGCTGAAGCACATTTGGGGCAAGCAAACTCCCAGGTATCCCTGAACACGTTCTTATTTTCACCTGGAAGTGTTAAACAGGAGGTAAGAGGAATTTGGTCATGTCAGGAGATTGCTACGGAGAGACCGCACGTGCACATTAAGCCCAGTCTCTTCAGAACACGACAGCTGTGCCCATGTTCTGGCTCTGTGCACAGAGCATTTGCCCACAGTTCAGTGCATCTTGGGTGCACTGAAAAAAGTATATGAATACACTATACAGCACATGTGTACAACTCTGCCCAGAACTGCTTTGAAAGAAAAAAGAGAGCTCTATGTGTGCAGTTGACACTTTTTGGGGTTGTTTTTTTGTTGTTTTTTTTTGGAGGTGCACCCTAACGGGTTATTGTCCCATTCATCAGTGACAGCTGAAGTATGAGCATGCAGCACTATCCCTACTCCCCTCAGGCTGTTATCAAACTGCTTGCCATATCACTCCGTACCTGATCTTTGAATTGTGTGAGCACAAGGGCTAGAATCGCAGTGATTATTTGCTCAGATGAGGCCAGGATTGTTTTCTGCTGTCCCTCATCTCATTGAAGGCCTGCTGAAACCACTGCTCTGCAGGCAAAAGACTGGACCTTTTTGCAAGAAGTCAGGTTTTGAAGGTGATGTGGAGACATTGGCTTAAGCAAGCTCAGTGTATGCCCTAGAGGCTTGTATTTCAAACTGAGACAGAGCAATGCAGTGTTTTACTTGAAACAAAGCAGCTCTTCAGGGCCTTGACTGCTCCCAGGCTGCTCTGCTGCACGCTCAGAAAGAGTCTTCTACTTTGTGAAATTAAAAACACAAATGATATCTGAAAAATCTCAACTTTAACCCAAATCCTGCTGTTTTGTTAGAGGAGCGGAGAGCATATAACCCACTCAGGATAAGCTGCGCTCACTTCATCCAGATGTCTGGATTTCTAAAAGGCTTATGCTATAGCCACTCCCATGGTCCATATGCACTGATTAATCTTTAGGGTATTTCACCAAATAAAAATGCAAGACATCTGGATTAAGCGGATCTGCTGGTCTAAGGAGCTGTTCCCTGTGCCTGGCAGATGAGATTAATTCCTGAAAAGTAACACCTGCCTGACAAAGTGATGTTACCCCCTTCAGGAAGACATGCTGGGAAACAGTGTCATTCATCCGGTTTTGTCTTGACTGGCCCACTGATGGCCAGTTCTGTTATTCCACCTCTTGCAGAAACCCATATCTGATGTTTCAGAATTAATAAACAAATAAAACAAAACGGAGAACAAAAAGGAAATAAAGCCCCAAACTAGTTTTCCCGACATCCATTTTCAGCACCCTGAGGCAAATTGCTTCCTGATCACTATCTCAGTAGAAAGTGAAACTGCAAATACCCTTATTTAAGTATTTGCTTCCTAAGGGTTATTCTTCCTGGTCAATAAGGCATGTTCAATGCCTGTCTGCCCCATGACCAGGCTATCTCAGGCAGGATCTTGGCTGTGACTTGTTTCATGGTTTAGAGAAGCTCAGCTAGGTCAGCAATAAATGCTTTGAAAATTCACACCCTTCTCATGCTTGGTCTGCAGGTTCCTGACAAAAGTTCCTGTTTTAATTCATTTGAATCATGACACTTAATTTCCTGCATGTTTACTGGTCTTTCTATCAAGCAAAAGGCAAATCCTAACACTGCGTGTAGATGGAAAGTCTTCGCTTGCACTAGTTATCAGTTGTGGGTTGTAAGCTAGTTACATTGTTTTTTAAACTTGTGCACAAGAATACTCTCTTGCCTTGTGTTTTTAGAGGTTTCAAAGAATGATTTATTGTGTAAGGTCCTACTGGAAAGCCATGGTACAATTCCTCACTTTTTTCAGTTATCTGTGACCTGTACCAATCTCCCTGTAACCACGGGGCTGTTGCACTGGTGCACTGTTCTGCATCGCAGTGGCAGCAGCAAAGAGCAAAGTTGGTGCCATGCTAAGGCACTATACCAACTGTAACGCAACTTTGGACTAAGGGATTGTTTTACTTCCTGACTTGCAAACCAGCCCAGACTTTTTAAACTAGAAAGAATCTGGAGCTTTAAAGGGAATTATTCTGGTCCTATCCCTGTCACTACTGCATCTCTTTTTCCTCTCTGAAATGCAACTGGGAGCATTTGAATGAATGCTGGCACAAGCAGTGCAACCCAGTGTCAAGACCAGAAATGCCTTGCTTATGTCCCAGCTTGCGCTGACTGAATGGGCCTCAGCCACATCCCCAAAGCTGCGGTGTTGCCATCCTGGTTTAAGTGACTGTGTTGCCCAGCTTGCCTTGGACCTGTCCATGGCAGCCTCCTTAGACATCAAACAGCTGAAACTTTGCATGGCGTTGGTGTTTGTTGTGCCCCTGAAAAGTGCTTGGGTGAGTTTTTCTGGGTGCACAGACTGAAGTTTAGGTGTTGAAGAGACTTGAATGCTGAAGAGTGAGATAAATTAATTAGGAGGACGAAGACTGTGTAGCTACAAAGAAAGAAATGAGGGAAAATTCTTCCTAAAAATTATTTTTATTCAAGTTGGAAAGTGTTTTGCATGGAAAAAGGGGTTGTGTTCATATCTGGGGCCTCCATCAAATGATAAACTGTCTTTGTTTGCCCTCAGTGTACATCTGCAGGTAAGTACTACTCTGTATATAATCATCACACTACCTAATTCCATAACAAACCATTGAGTTTTCAGTCTGTCAGACAAGGCATCTACCTACCTGTCTATGTACCTACACACGCACTTCTATGACTAGCAGACCATCATGAGAACCAGGAAAGCAAGTCCGTATGTGGTTCTGGCCCTTGACATTTTAATTTGGGCCATTAATCTTATTCGCTAAAGCATTCAAGAATGTATCAGTCTCACCTCATTTTGTTCACCAATTAGTCCTATAAGCCTTTCCACCCAGCTTTTACATCTTTGTAGTACTCACATATTATTTTTTTAAACATTTTTCTACTATCAGAGATTATTTTTCTATATTTTTCAGGCATGCCCTATCCAGTCATAATACATGACCAATCACGCCTGACACATAAGCCACTGTATGAAGTAAGATTTATAAGAACACATTTTCTTAAATCAAATTCTAGAGTTAAGGGGAAAAAGTTTTCTGTTCAGGCTGATTTCTTTTTGTTTCATGTTGTGTAGCCGATATTTCAAGTGGCAGATTTCAGCATCTTCTGTGCTGAGCAGCAGTACCATTGCAGCTGCAGTAAAGTCAAAATGCCTTTGAAAGAGGTCTGCTTTTCTCACCATCTCAGCTGGTCTAATACTGCCCTGTGGAACCTGCTGCATTTAAACCATTCTGAAGCTGTAAGCAATGCAACACCAGTGTTGCTCAACTGTAGTAAACACAGATTTTTCAGAACTCTGGTATTTATTGTGGAAAAACAAGAGCTGATTCTGGGTATCACTGACATCTGTACAATAACCAGTGCCCTTCTATCATCATAATTTCTGTCAGACAGTGAGTAATTATTTTTTAAATATAGAAAGTATTCACCTTCAACAGTAAAATACTCAGATTTAGTTTTAATAGGAGGGACTAACATATATTTTTGCCTGGCTGCCTCTAGCTCTTAGAACTTCTACCAAAAGAGACCGCTTTTATAATCTGGAACAACACATAGAAAAAAATACGTAGAACTTAAAAGCTGATTTTTACTTTTTAAGTTATCCTTAAGTATACAGGAATTATGGAAGGGTTTCTTTTTAATTTTGCCTTATCCTCGTAGTCTATTCTGTGACTAGGTGTCTAAAGACACAGGAGCAGAACTTGTGTCCTGTCTGCTGGCTCATACTTTCTAATAGGTACCTTTTAAAATTTGTCCTTGATCTACTGTAACAATTATTTGTTGATTAATTTTCTCAGCCTACCTTCTTTTAATGCATTGATGAAGAGGCTGGAGGAACCATTTTAGACTGAATCTTTGTCTTGCTAACATGAAAAACATTAAACACTTGAATGAAAAATGAATTTTCGAATGAGAACTGATTATTTTGCCAAAGTTGACTTAAATAATTGCTCAGGATTATACAATGCATTCCCCATGTATCTCAAGAAAGGGTGAAGTGGCCCAAATGGAGAAGCAGCTTTCCTCTTTAAGGTATTTTCTGTGGAAGTTTGTCCTTCCTAGATTCATTGATCTCTTCCACTTTTCACTGTACCACCACTGCACTGCAATAGTAGTCCTAAGATGGGATGCCTCCAGAGCACCCGCAGCAGTGGCACCAGCTGTACGGAAAGCTTTGCCCACTGACACTGAGCTGGGTCTGCCAGTGCTGCCGTTCAGATGTAGTAGTACAAAGGGCGGATAAGTAACTGAAAGGCTGAAGCACACCGATACATTGACTTACCGACATGACTCCAAACATCATCTTAGTACGTAAGACACACCAAGACAGACACAATCACAATCACTGTGACTCAAATTTAACTTTAGCTTTTCACCAGGATTCCTTGAGAAAGTTGATGTGACTATAGAGGAATTTATTCTGCTCAGTATGTTCTGTTGCATGCTGCCTTGTTCAGAGCATTCTGTTAGGCTACAATAGGCTGCCTTATAATGTAAGAAGTGACTTTCCTTACCAGAAATAATGGAGTCATTCAAAACTTCCTCATCCTGAAAAAAAACAGAGTCTTCCTTGAGCTCTGAGTTCATGATCATGTTTTCTTTGTTCTCATCCGACTCTTTAACTGAGTTCCGCTTATTTTCTGAATCACTGCTGTAACTCAGCGAGTTCTCCTTTTCTTTGTTGCGCTCAATGCTAGATGTTCTGGATGGATGGACATCCACTCTTTTTTTTGGAGAGCCTTTGCTTTCTCTTCCATGGAAGCTGTGGGTGGAAGGTGCACAGCTCAGTTTTTACAAAAGCCTGTTTCATTGCCACAGTAGGAACTTATCGTTACATGAGAATGAGCAGAATGTCCTGTAGCTTGTAAAGGCCAGGGCAGAGAGTTCAACATGGGACAACACAGAGTGGCTAATGCGGATCTACTTTCCTCTGTCATTAAAATAAGGTATTGAAGGATGGTTACTAATGTATTACTTTGATATAGAGCCACATGCTGTACGGTACTGATTAAAATAAAACCCCTCACAGCACATCTGTCTAATGTAAAACGTACGTGGCATGAGATATTGTCATTCTGATATTTTATGATCATGGTAAAGGCTTAACAGGGCCTGAGAGTAATATTGTATAAATCTATTCCCCATGACAATAGCTGTTATGGAACTGAAAAATGTTACCAACTTAACTCCTGAGCTCTGTGGTGGAAAAGGTTATCTCTGCCCTCCTCTAATACACAGGAGGGCTTATAATGAAAACCAGACAAAGTACCCAATGTACTCCCACACAATCATTTGTATTAAAAATGGATACTGTATATGCTCATGTATAAGCCAGGAGACGTCTTCTGAAATAGTAGCATTTCTCATATGTAGAGTACTGATTTTCTGTTGCAGAAGGTCAGGGATTATCAGATGGTGATTCTACCTGTTTGAAAACCCAGTTCTACGTCCCAGTAGCCTCCTTCTAGAGGAAGCACATACTTTAAGTATCTACCAGATGAAGCACTGTAACCAGGGTTGGATGTTCAAAGTAGTGACATAAAGAGGAAGGCAAACACAAGCTGTAAGAGTAAATAAAATGCTAATAGCAGGCTAGGGACATTTACCAAGCAAAATGACTTAGTGGAATGACTCTCCTCATGCACCCATATAGCCAAGATGCTGTAGGTACCTGTCCTGCCGGTGTTTGGTGGCCAAAGCCCTGTGGAGTTCTTCAATGACTCTGCTGGGAGGTAAAGGCAGGTGGACGGCAGCCAGGTGAGGGGAACCGGTTGGTGTTGTTACCTGTCCTCTGACATGGGGATCTGAACTTTTCTGGCCAGAGGGATGGAAGAGGGCAGCTTGTCCTGAGATTTGGGAGGAACCAACAATGACGTAATTCTTCAGGATGGTGGAAGGAGGAGATTTCATGGCTGGGTCATCTATTTCGCTTCCTGCTGTCAAGACACAAGAGGGTAAAAGGTTGTGCATGGCTTATTTTTTTGTGCACAGTCTGCACTGAAATTGATTTGTTGTGTTCAACAGAGGAAAATTGAGATATTTCGTTCTCGGTAGGAGGTAACTAAGCAGAGTATCTGCATTCAACTAGCTCGTACTACACAGATCCAGATCTTTGATCTAGAAAAACAGATGCCTCCCCCATCTCCCCTCTTTCCTCCCACAGCGTCAGACACTCCTTTCTCGCAGCCCACCAATGCATTCTCAATTGCCAGTGCTGTTCCTCCCAGCCACCAGTGGCTTGTACTACGGTGGCTTTCCAATCTAGCACTTTCTCTGCTGGACTCTGTCAGCCTGTATTAAAATTTATGCACTGTGGTTCTCAGTCAGGACAAGATGTACCAATGCCTGTTATCTGCTCCTCTGTGATTGCTGCTCGGCTTGGACCTCTGTCGTTCATAAGCCAGTTGAGGAAATGCCAAAATCATTATAATATGAGGATGATGTTCACATAACAAAACTTGCCAAGTGAAATCCAAATGAAAGATGAGCACCAAGAAGAGAAAATAAGGGTGAAGCAATCTAATATTTTTTTACCTCCGGATTCGGTTATTTTTTATGCTATGTAAGCATTTTATTGGAAATTAGACATTGATACATACATTTCTCTAGCACCTGAGTCCAAAACACAGTGGACATTTCCCTGGTTGTAAATTTAATAGTTTCACACTCCTAAGGTAACTGAACATCTGGCCTAAAAAAGATGCCAGTAAGTTTTTCTGTTCTGCAGCTCTCTTCCCTTTCCCCCTTTCCCTTATATCTCCATCCCAAGCCTCTGGCATATGGTGTTTTTTACACCAATAGCTCGGGCTTGGTGAAAAAAAGCAATGCAAGTGCTTCATTAGAGGAGTATTTCTTTTCCCTTGTTGCCACCTAGCGTTTTAAGCAGGAATTTAATCTGAAACAGCTTGTACAGCTTTTGTACAAACTTCTTTTCACAGATCATACTATTTTTATTCACTTTTGAGATAAATCCTTCAGTTCATAGCAGAGAAAAGATTCTGCTCAGGCCAGCATTATCCTGAAATACCCGTGTAAAAGGGACTTGATTCCTATTAGCAGGGTAACTTATTAGACAATGGGAGAAGACAAAAGTAGGTTTGAATATTAACTTCAGTTATTAAATATTTCCTCTCAGATACAGCATAATAAATAATGGTTACCAACTGCATGCCTTTTCTTAAGGTCACTGCTGGCAATCTGGGACAGCTCTGTAAGCTGCTGCAAGCAGAGCTGGGCACCCAGAGGTTGGAGGACAGAATTACTGAGGACAACAGCAAAAGCACAGGTAGGAAGGAGAGCTCCTGTAGCCAGAGCCAAAATTGAAGATTTGAGAGTGATAACACTAAGCCTGGTCTCACGTTTGTGGGGTGAGGAGGAGAACATCCTTCGACGAGGAGTTACATCCACATTACAATCTTCTCTTTTATTCTAAGAAAAGTCTAACTTACTCCTTTATTCATTTCTGGAAGGCATCTTAATGCATTTCTCTCCCGAGAAGCCTCAGCAATGGCCAGAGCTTCATTCATCTTTCTCTGCACCCAGGAAACAGGGCTCATCAAGACAGGCCAAAAGTTACCCTATTTAAAATCTGTACGTGTCTGAAAGCACAAGGGCATTTCTTCAAGTGTCTGGGTGCCCAATGTGCCATATCTTGGCAATGAGACCCCTTCCCACCCCGGAGCTCCTCCTGTGCTGATCAGGATGGTTGCTGCAGCCAGGAGACAGCCAACCTCTGCTAAGCAAAGACTTTTATTCGGCACTCAGGGGGATTTTGATTATGTGCTACTGTGAAGATGCACAGAGGACCTTTACAATCAATCGTTGCCCATTGAATCATGGCCTGAGGGGATGAAAAAACCACCTCTTAAGTCACTTGATGTGGCTGCGCAGTGAGAGAGGGTGTCCTTGTTTTCTCAGAGCAACAACCCTGGGTTCAGCTCAGAGGAGACTGTTTTATCTCTGTACCTGCTTGCTCCTGGAACAGGTCAAGGGCCAATTTTGTCCTCATTGCAGCTCAGGCCAATATTGAGAGTTTCCTTAGATCACACCTTATTTGTTCTAATGACAGCTGTTCAGTGAATAATCTTGCAAAGTGATGTCTTGGCACCTTGCCCTATTCCCTCTCTCTCTGTGATTAATTGGTGCTTGGCTTATTGCTCACTCTTCTGCTAACAGCATCTCTAACATTGTTAAGGAGGGAAAAACTAAACACAAAAGAGCTTTTCAATCCCTTTGTCTTTCTCGTCTCATAATCACTCTTTATTTCTGTCTCCCCATACTTCTGTACTCCTTTTCACCCATTGACAGTATTTGTTTAGTCTTAACTCGCCACTGCCTCCACATCCACACAAAAATAAACAAATGTATAATCACTATGGAAAAGGGGTCTATAGTTATAGGAGTCATTGAGAAAATGAGGAGTTGTTCTTGTGGAAAATTTAGATGAGAATGAAATAGCAAAACTCAGAATATCTTGGATGTCAGAGGAAATACTTGGGTTAAGCAGTGAAATATCTAGACTTAAAATGATGTGAGGAGCCTGGTGGAGCTGTAGTCTCATTACCCTCTGTGGGTCAGGTTTTCCAAACATCTTGTGCAGGCATGGCTTTCTCAGCAGTTGAGCAAATTAAGGGGTGTCCTGGTTTTCCCTGTTCATGTTGCAAGGTGGAAAGGGCAGGCTGGAGCCTCACTCATAGTGGAGAATGCTGAAGCAATCCGAACAGCAGCTCCCAAGAAGCATTATGATACCATTTTTCATTCAGGCTCAACTTAAACTCTTACAGCTTTTAAGCATGGACAAAATATGGATATTTTCCATGGGAAACAAATACTTGTAATTTTCCTCAAAAAGATTGAAACCCCCAATATTTTCTATGAACCCCAGTGGTCAGACCACAATGCCCCTCTGCTATTTTATTTCTTGGTGACTTTGAAAATTGTTCTTTGTGCCAGTAGATGTGCCAGTGGATGCAAACTGGGGCTGAGATAATGGCTGTCATTTAAAAGTCTGAGTGTCTAACAGGTCTGACATTTAGATGTCAGGACTCGATTCTAATTTGCAATAAGGCCCTTTTAACTGCTTTTACCATATGCAAGGGCCCTAAAATTGGAACAGACTAAAATCACATTCACTTTAACACCCTGTCTGCAGTGCCAGAACATTGGAAAATGTAACAACATTGGCAATACATTAGAAAATCAGGCCCAGAGGAATGGCTCTTGAAACGTTCAATGCAGTTTGGCACGGAGGACTGCTTTGTGGGAGCCAGGTGTATCACTTATGTGTGTTCTGCGTAACTAGACCAGATTTCATAGCTCTAGTTTAGACCTATCCTAGAGAGAAACCCTTCCAGACAGAAACCTCCACAGACTCTATTGACTTGAACTTGGTTTCGATTGTTTTACACAGAATCACAGAATCACAGAACGT